TTGGGGAGAGGGATCTGGTCAGAGACACAGATGGGGCAGACACGATCATGGGGAACAGGCATGGTCTTGGGGAGAGGGATCTGCTCAGAGACACAGATGGGACACACATGGTCATGGGGAACAGGGGCATGGCCTTGGGGAGAGGAATCTGGTCAGAGACAGAGATGGGGGTCGGGATAGGTGTACCAGAGGGGGCAGACACTGGGTCATGGGGGCGGCTGAGATGGGGCTGTGGTGGGGAGAGGTGGCTGAGGGGACAGACACTGGGTCATGAAGGAGACTGAGATGGGGCTGTGGTGGGGAGAGGTGTGCCAGAGGGGGCAGACACTGTCATGGGGGAGAGACAAATCTGTAGGGGTGATGCGCCCATGGTGACAGGCTGTATGTAGGCTTTGAGGATGGAACTGAAGATGATTAGTGAAGATCAGAGATGGGAGTGGTGAGAGTTGAGTGATCAATTGAATGGGTCCCTAGAGTCAGAAATGGGTCTTTGGCATTAGGCAGAGATAGGAGACCAGGCTATGTCTGTGGTAAAGACGTGTGTGTGTGTGTGGGGGGGGGCATCTGCACCAGGAGCTGAGTGGACAGAGCAAGGGGATAGTGGAGGGCAAAGAAGAGATGGGGAGAGGAGGAGAAGGGCGTAGGCAATGAGGATCACTGAGCATTCCCATGGGCAGGGGGGTCAGCGCAAGAATGCCATAGAGCCAAATGGGTGCCGGCCCTGACACTGGCCGGAACTCTGTGGGTTCCCACCCCTTTCCCGCGTTACCTTGCCCTCCTTTCCTCTCCCTAGCCCCCTGGCACCTGACATGGGCCCCTGTGGGCCCTTCAACCTGAGCCTTGTCAGCCAGGCGACCACGTGCGATGCGCCCGGGGCTCCCAATGCATCAGCGGCGCCGCCTTCAGGCCGTCCCGGGGCGTCCCCAGCGCTGCCCATCTTCTCCATGACGCTGGGCGCTGTGTCCAACTTGCTGGCCTTGGCACTGCTGGCACAGGCAGCGGGCCGCCTGCGGCGTCGGCGTTCAGCCGCCATCTTCCTGCTGTTCGTCGCCAGCCTGCTGGCCACCGACCTGGCGGGCCACGTAATCCCGGGCGCGCTGGTGCTGCGCCTGTACACGGCCGGGCGGGCACCCACCGGCGGCGCCTGCCACTTCTTGGGAGGCTGCATGGTCTTCTTCGGCCTGTGCCCACTGCTGCTGGGCTGCGGCATGGCCGTGGAGCGCTGCGTGGGGGTCACGCGGCCGCTGCTGCACGCGGCTCGCGTCTCCACGGGCCGCGCGCGCCTTGCCCTTGCTGTGCTGGCTGCCGTGGCCTTGGCCGTGGCGCTGCTGCCGCTGGCGCGCGTGGGCAGCTACGAGCTGCAGTATCCCGGCACCTGGTGCTTCATCGGCCTGGGCCCGGCGGGCGGCTGGCGGCAGGCGCTGCTCGCCGGCCTCTTTGCGGGTCTCGGCCTGGCCGCGCTCTTGGCCGCGCTCGTGTGCAACACGCTCAGCGGCCTGGCCCTGCTGCGCGCCCGCTGGCGCCGCCGCCGCTCTCGACGGCGTTCTCCCGCCTCAGGCCCGGATGGCCGGCGTGGCCGACGCCGCTGGGGAGCGCGCTCCGCGTCAGCCTCATCGGCCTCGTCCCTCGCCTCCGCCGCCTCCTCCAGCTCCCCGGGTGGCGGCTCGACGCGCAGAGCCCGTGCTCACGACGTGGAGATGGTGGGCCAGCTCGTGGGCATCATGATGGTGTCATGCATCTGCTGGAGCCCGCTGCTGGTGAGGGGCGAGCGCCCCTCGAGCCACCCTGCTCCCGATTAGCTGGCCCTTTCCCAGCCTCCACCTTCCTGGACACGTGGGTCTCTCCTCCCGGGAGAGCCTGCCCTTCCTCCCAACCCTCTTACCATTCTTCCCTAGGGTCCGTTAGTGGCACCCAGCGCCCCTTCAGGGATCGCCCCGCTGGGCCTGGCTCTGTACACCTTGTCGAGTCTGCCTTTGCGCTCTCCCCAATTGCCTCCTTTTCCAGATAATTGGTTTCCCACTTTCCAGATGCACCTTCCGCCCTACCCTTCTGGGGATTCCATTCGGAAAACATGGGGCTTCTTTTTCTTACCCAGTTTATAACAACCCTGAGGTCATCCTTTTTCACCTCTTTTGCGCAGGTTCCCTCACATACACCCCTATTTTTACCTAGACACCTGCTCCTCATAGCCCTTTCACTACCCAACCTGCTAGCCACACCCCTCTTCTCCTAATAGCCCGCATCCTTCCTCACTCCCCCTTCCCCTCCCAGTTCCTTCCCCGCCCCTCATGTCAGCTTCTCCCCTCCCAGATCCTTCCCCGCCCCTTATGTCAGCTTCTCCGCAGGTGTTGGTGGTGCTAGCCATCGGGGGCTGGGGGCCCAGCTCTTTGCAGCGGCCGCTGTTTCTGGCTGTGCGTCTCGCCTCCTGGAACCAGATCCTGGACCCCTGGGTGTACATCCTGCTGCGCCAGGCCGTGCTGCGCCAGCTGCTTCGCCTCCTGCCCCCGAGAGCCAGCACTAAGGGGAGCCAAGTGGGGCTGGGCTTGACCAGGAGCACATGGGAGATCAGCTCGCTGCGCAGCTCCCGGCACAGTGGCCTTGGCCACTTCTAGGTCCATCCCGAGTTCCTGGCCAGGCACGTGGCACAGAATCATCAATGAATAAAGCCACTCTGAGGACGAGCCCAACGCTGTCTTGTGCGATCTGCAGTACTGACTGCAGCCTCACAGCGGCGGCAGAGAGCGTCGCTGGTGCGCACGTAGTTCCGGTAATAGCCACACGGGGGCGCAGACACTTGGTCTTCAAGAGGCGGGTGCAGAGCCAGCAGCGCATGCGCTTGCGCATACCGCCGCTTCTCAGGGGCACAGGCTCCTAGGACCTCGAGCTGAAGCCCCAGCAGATTGTCCCTGTTCTTCCCAGCATGGACTCTCTGCCATTCCGCTCATCCCATTCCTGAGTTCCCCGAACAAGGACCCAGACCTTTACCATAAAGCCTTACCCCAGCCCCGACTCTGCAAAATCCCCCAGCACAGCCCCCAGGTCCTTGCTACTGCTGTCTGCCCTTCCAGGATCCCTGCACTCTAGTAGTTGTTATGTGCCGTCGAGTCGTTTGCGACTCATAGCGACCCTATATACAACAGCCCTAAACCCTGCTCTATCCTGTGCCAATCGAATTTCCTCTGACACACCCATCCCGATTACTCCAGTCACTGAATCAATCCACCTCATAGAGGGTCTTCCTCTCCTGCGCTGTCACTCTACTCTACCCAGCATGATGTCCCTCTCCAAAGACCTGTCTCTCCTTGCAACATGTCCAAAGTATGTCAGACGAAGCCCCAGAATCTTTGCCTCCAAGGAGTAGCCTGGTTTAACCCTCTCTAGGATGAATCTGTTTGTTCTAGTGGCCCCTAAAATTGTCCCGCTCTCTGGGACAAGAGAGCCTCCTCCACGCCCTGCCACCCGCTGAGTAACTTCGTCCCCAAATCTCCCCTGTTCTGTGCACTAACCAACCCACACCCACATGCACAAGACGAGATGCAGTTGCACGAATGGGGTGAATCCGAAAGGCCTTTTTAAAAACTACTAAAGAGCTCGGTGGGGGAGCGGAGGGGAGGGCTTGGCAGCCCCCGCCACAAAGTCGAAGTCCCGGAAGGCTGCCTGCTCCGTGGCCGTGAGGGGCCGAGCGTCCCGGGGTGGGCTCAGCGTGGGCGCCTCCCCGGTGAACTCCTCGTCGAAGTTGCTGACATCCGTGCGGCCCGCGAGCGTGGGCACGAAGGGCGGTGGCAGGCGCCGGGCCAGCAGGGCATCCCAGCCCAGTGTCTGTGGGGCATAGGCAGGGGTCAGCAGGCTGCGGGGCCAGACCCCAGGAGGGGCCAACCCGCCAGCCCTTCCAGCCCTTCGTCTTGGGTCCAGCAAGAGTCACAGAATAGAGGGGAAAATAAGAATACAGGAGTTGGAAGCTCAGGGAATTCATATGGGGAGTGGCTAGTAGGGGAACCCTGAGCTCACACACAGCAGTGCTTGGCCAGACTGGGGCAATGGAGAAGGGTCAGCTGGGGTGGGGCTGGCCAACACCACCTCGTAGAAAGGGGTAGAGATGTCAAAACCAGGTGCAATGTTTGAAAGATGGCCTGTAGGGAGCACTGCCAGGCAACTGAGTGGGACTATTCAACCAGGATCTTCTAAGGATGGCTGGGCCCTGGTGGGTTAACCAGGTTCTTGGGAGATGGCTAGGCTGTACCAGAGGTGACCAGATTCTTGCAGGGGTGACAGGTTCTTAGGGGGATGGCTGGGCCCTAGGAGCATGCCCAGATTCCTTGGGGCAATGACCAGAGCCGGGGGGAAGTGGCTGGGCCCCCAGGAGGCATCTCACCCTGAAGAAGGGCTGTTTTTTCACATCCTCAGCATCCCTCTCACTCGACCCCAGCCTCCGCTCTGGATTCCGTCGCAGCAGCTGGGGGAGAGCACTGTGTGTCAGACTGTCCCTTCCGGGGCCCCAGGTTCCTTCCCCGGGTCCCCAGGGGCTTCTCTCACGCTACAGGGTCCTCACCCTTCTCATGATGCCAATGGCTTCAGCAGACAGGAAGCGGGGGTAGCGAACTTCATCGTTGACGATGCTGTCGAAAACCTCCTCCTCATCGTCCCCTGGGAACGGGGACTGGGGAAAGGGGGGGCTAGGTGAGCAGGCCACCTCCTGTGGCCCCACCTGAGCCCTCTGCACTTTACATGCTGCCAGTGGACACGGAGGTGGTAAGTACCCCCATTTTACGGAAGTCGAACCTGATGCCAGAGAGTGAAGTCACTTGCCCCCCCTAGACACAGAAGGATTCCACCTCAGTGTGGCCCAAGGAGTGCACAGGGCTGGGGAGGCAGGGACCTCACCTCTCCAACCAGCATCTCGTAGAGCAGCACGCCCAGCCCCCACCAGTCCACGGCCCGAGTGTACGATGTGTCTGTCAGCACCTCAGGCGCCAGGAACTCGGGGGTCCCACAAAATGTGCTGGTCCGGTCCCCATAGCCCATCCCTGGGGGTAGCAGAATCACTCAGTAAGGTTATGTAGGGGTGTTGCCTCTAGCTCACCTTGGGGTGACGGTGGCGGGGGGGGGGGCATTCCAGACAGGCAGCCCAGCCAAGGCGGGGACAAGCCCAACCTGGAGGGAAGCCCTAACAACCAGTCCCTGGAGTCCATGCCCTGAGGGACAGGACAGGTCCTGCCCACCCAACTTTCCACTGCCCCTCACCCTCCTTGCAGAGGCCAAAGTCTGCGATCTTGACATAGCCCTCTGTGTCCAGGAGCAAATTGTCCAACTTCAGGTCCCTGGGGGAGGAGGGGATTGGACAATGTGAAAGGCTGACGGTGGCTGGGTCTTGCTCAAAGCCAGAGGGTCCCCAGTTGTCAGAGATGGGGAAGGCACACGCACACATATACCTGTAAACGATCTTGTGTTCATGGAGAAACTGCAGTCCCAGCACCACACAGGCGGAATAGAAACTGCACAGAGAGTCTGGTATGAGGGGCAGAGCCCGCCCCCTCGCCGGCTCCCCCATCCTCAAAGAGCCCCCAGCCCTCAACTCCAGGAGCCGAGAGAGCTAGGGAAATGGAACGGTAGGAAGAGGGGCAGGGGAGTGTCTCAAGGCTTCTCATTCCAAAGCATCAGGGATATTGGGGGGCGGGGGGGAGGAAGAGCCAGGCACAGGGGCAAGCAGAGGGGTATAGGGCAGGACTTGGAGGGGCAAGCCATGCCTCAGGGGCGCAGACGGGGTGGCGGGGCTCACATGGCGCGGGGCTCTGAGAACACGTCACTGTGGATGTGCAGCATCAGGTCCCCGCCGGCCGAGTACTCCATCACGAAGCACACGTGCTCCGGCGTCTGGAAACAGCCAAACAGGTTCACCAGGAACGGGTGCCCCGCCCTGGTCACGGCCGCCAAGATCCGCTTCTCACACATAAGGCTGGCGGGGGAGAGGGTGGGGTTTTGAGGCCATAGGTGCCCCCACATCCAACCCCGGGGTGGGGGCCCTTACTCAAAAGATCTTTGTAGAGGGCCTCCTGCTGGCCAGGCCTGGTTCTATGTTGGTTTTTAACTTTGTTTTGCTGGGTGGTCTTGAGCAAGTAGGTTAACATCTCTGATACTTGGCAGTTTGTCTGTTTAACAGGACACACGGATTCTCTCCCTGATCTTGACAACAGCACCCCACCACCACCCCCCGGACATCTCTGGGATCTTCCAGAAAGGAAGTACAAGGCCCAGGCTAATCAGAGTATCCCATCCACCCCAGGCAAGGGCCGTTGGAGGGATGGGCAGTGCATGCTAACGAAACTCTATCCTAGTGGGGAGGAATGACCAGAGCTGGTGGGACGGACCTGAAGTTACTGGTTGGAGGACATTTGTGCTCCCACAAGAGAACTGACTGCAAGCTAAGCCCACACACCAGAAAGCAGAACTGAGACAGGCCCTCTGGCACCTGCATACAGCCATGTCTGAAGGCAGTGCACCCCTGAATCTTTTCAATCCAGATCAACAAATTCCTTTCTGCATAAGCCTGTACTGGAGTCTTCATTAAGAAAAGGATATCAAGAGGACTGGGGATCATTTCAGTGCTTCTACCAGGAACTTACAGGGGAAAGCCCTCTACAGAGACCTTTAGATGCAAAATTAGTTACTGAATGTCAAGTACATGGTTGATGGGCTGTAAGAGTTGCTAGTATGTGATATACTAGCTTAGTAAGGGCAGGTAACCATCGAGTCGTTTCCCCAGCATCTCCAACTAGAGACACTGTTGTTTCCATCCTCCAGAAGAGAAAACCAAGGTTTCCAGAGGACCGGGACAGGGCCGCCTACCTCTCCACCTCGTCTCGGGCCACAATGTCCCCTTTCTTCAAAGCCTTAATGGCAAAAAGCTCCCCACTGGGCCGGAATTCGGAGAGCAGCACCTGGAAGCACGGAGGGCATGGGTGGGCTCTGGGCACAGCCTGGGGTCTGGACCCCCAACCTCCGCCTCTCCTCACCCCTCATCTCACCTTCCCAAAGTGACCCCGGCCCAGCACTGCCAGGAACTTGAAATCCTCGAGGGTCAGGGGTGACTTCCTCAGAGGGCTGTGGAGAGAGGACACTGGTGGGGACAGGGAGGTGGGTGAGGGAGGTGGGGAGGGGTAGGGGAGGGGCATCACCTGCACAAGGCAGGGCCTGGGGTCTCCTGGGTCTCCGAAGGCATCTCAGGAGTTGGGGGCAGTTCTTGGATCTGTGAACTCTGCAGAGCAGGAGGGAAGAGATCAGAGTAAGCAGAGTCAGCGGTGCCCCCAAACCAGAGTGGCCCCCAAAGCTCTGTATGATCTGCTTGCCACCTCTTTGCCCTCCTATCTCCTCATACCGGCCCCACTTCACCTGAAGCCACACAGTTCCCGTCCTGTGTCCCAAATGCACCGAGCACGGTTCTACCTCAGGGCATTTGCACAGCTGCGTGGCGCAGCCCCACCCCCATGCTCTTCAGGCCTCCTCCACACAAGGGCACTTTTGTGGGAGTTCAGCTGACCACCTTGCTAAAGCACCACCCCCTACTCCCTTCCTGTTTCATTTTCTCCACTGCACACTTGACCTCCCAAGTCTCTTTTCCATTTCCCTCCTGACTTCCTTTATTGGTATTACAGCCAATCCCCGTCCTGACCCTCTGCTGTCGGGTCAACTCTGCCTGCCAGCAATCTTACAGGACAGAGAAGAAGTGCCCCACTGGCTTCCCTGGCCTGTCAGTCTCTGAGAGCGGACTGTCACATCTTTCTCTGGAGGAGTGGCTGGTGAGTTTGAACTGCCAGCATTGAGGTTAGAAGGTCAACAATTAAGCCACTGTGCCAATAAGGCTCGCACAACAACTTAATTTTTTATACCCCATGTGTATATAGCTGAGAAGAATCAAAATAGCTTTTTAAAGGCATTTGGATACAGTTAGTGAACCGTGGAAAGGAACAAGTTCTTACATGCCATGAAACCTCTTCTACGTGTACGACATACGTAACCCTCCCCTAGAGCGGGGCCAGCAAACCCCGTCCCAGGGCCAGATTCACTCACTGGGTGTTGAATGGCCTTTGCATTAAGAATGCAGAAAGCATTAGAAAACACTTAGAAATAAGTGTTTAAACATTAGAAAACAATCACAAAGGAAGAACATACAAAAATTATAAGTAATCCAAAGGCGAGTGTTTGTCAAAGCAATGGAATTTCTGGAAAGTACAGTCAATGTGTTCAAGAGGACAGAGGTCTGAGTCTATTCAGGGTGCCCTGGAAGAAAGGCCTGGAAATCGACTTCCAAGGGAAAACCAGCCACTGTCAGCTCTACGGAGCACAGTTCGACTGGGACACACAGGAGGCTGGCACCAGCCGGAACCCATCGGCAGCAACCGGCATTTCAGTTTTACCGCAATCAGCCTTGTTTGGTTGTGTGTCTGTGGCTCTTTCTGTGCAAAAACAGAGCCGATGGTTGTACTAAGATCGTCTGGCCCACAGACTCAGCAATATTGACTATCTGGCCCTTTACGGAAAACATGTTTCCATCTCAGCCTAAATCAAGACACAGAACAGTCCAGCACCCCAGGGGCGCCCTAGTGGCCCCCCCCTGTCAATAGCCCCTCCCAGAGGTCACCACTACCTTGATGCTTGTCATCAACATGAGAAGTTTTTGTTTGTTTGTTTGTGTTGTGTGTGTGTGTACCGTTAAATCGTTAAATCGGACCTGACTGGTATAGGAGGAGATTGCCCCTCCTTCTCCAGCAGAGCATCTGGTGGATTTGAACCACATCAACATAAGCTTTAAACACACTTATTCAGCTATGTCCTGAGGCACCCAGAGGTGGCAATGCAAGTCCCAGGGCCACCTATTTTTGGTCCAGGTTCTGCCAGAGATATGCTGTGTGACCTGGCGAAGTTCCTAGCAGTCTCTGGCCTTTGAGTTGGGAAGAAGGCCTGAAGCTGGACCATCCCGCCCCAGCTGGTGCCCAAGACGAGGGGGTAACACTCACCAGGCTTGATGGGCTGGAAGGAGGCTCCAGCGGGCTCTTCTGGGGAGAGCTGTCTGAGGTGGCTCCAAGGTTCAGTTTCTCTACAGAGATGTCACTGCTGCAGAGAGAAGGGGAATGTCTGGGATTCAATATCCTGGGAAGTAATGACGGGCAGCCGGGACCCCGGGGCCCTCCTTCTTACCCTGTGGGCCGGGCCTCCGATCCTGGTGAAGGTCCAGGGCTGAAGGTGCCCGTGGCCGTGGCATTGGGGATGAATCTCCGGAGCAGCCTCACCCACGTGGCCACATCAATGTTCATCTGTCTGGCGCGCTGGAATGCCTTCCCTGGGGGGGATGGGGCAGGGGTCCTGTCACATCATTCTCCGAGCCGTTGCCCAGGACCCCCGTCCTGGTCCACACCCTCACCTTGCTGCTTCGAGAAGATTTTCTTCTGCCTCCGGAGTCGGGGGATCCTTTCAATGACAGGATTCCGGAATTTGACCTGGGCATACGGGATGTGAGGGTTCATCACCTTCATCTGAGCAGCTTGAGGAAGAAGTTCTCAGGCAGACAGACAGGTGTTGTGTACCCAAAGACTTAGGAGAGGGGTCTTGCTTATGGTGGTATCTATCCAATCTCAAGAACACCACGAGGCATTACTAAGGAGTCATAAACCTAAATCAACCCAGTCTTAAAAAAATCAAACAACATATTTCAACAGTCAGACATGCTGCCAACGGCCTCTTTTAAAGTGCTAAAGAGCAAGGATATCACTTTAAAGACTAAGGTGCACCTGCCTCAAGCTACATTATTTCAATTGCTTCTTATCCATCTGGAAGTTGAGACTATGACTAAGGAAGACTGGAGAATTGATGCCTTGGTGAGCTCTGGTGGCCTAGTGGCAAGAAGCTGCACTGCAATCCCAGAGGTGCGAGGTTCAAATCCACTAGATGCTCTGCTGGAGAAGGAGGGACAATTCCCTCCTGTACCAGTCAGATCTGATTTGAAAGTACACACACAAAATTATAAAATTTTAAAAAAGGAAGAAGAAGAATTGATGCATTTGAATTGTGGTGTCCGCAAAGAATACAGAACGTATCATGGACCACCAAAAGAACCAACAAATCTATCCTGGAAGAAATGCAGACGGAATTACTCCTTTAAGGCAAGGACAATGAGACATCAGCTCACATATTTTGGCACATTTATCAGAAGGGCTTGGTCCCTGGAGAAGGACATCATGCTTGGCAAATATGAAGGGTATAAAAAAAAAATAAGAAAAGAAAGAAAGAAAAAGGAAACTCAGGAAGATGGACTGACACGGGCTGCAGCAATGGGCCTGACCACAGCAGAACAGCTGGTGGGTCTGACAGCAGTTGCGCAGTGAGTTGGAACAAACTCAAGAGACCCTAACAACAAACCTCACCCACTGCCCAGCATGCAGCTGCCCGAGGTGTCACCTTGGACAGGCAAGAAGCAACCTGGGAGGGGTCCGATGTATCAAGACTGGCACCACAGTCTCGCCAGTAGGTCCGACAGTATCTAGCGCAGGGATGCAGCAAGTGTGATCCCCAAGCAGTGGGGCCAGCTTTCTCACCTGGGACTGTGTCAACAACACACATTCTCCACCTGCACCTCACCTAGAACGTGGGAGGTGCTTGGTGATCCTGGAAATCTGTTTCAGTAAGTGCCCCCCCAAGTGCTGCTGGTGTGCCCCTACATTTGGAAAACACTTGTTGTTGTGTGTTGTCGAGTCAGAACTGACTCCTGTGGTGAGTTTTCAGAGGCTGTAAATTGCACGAGAGGAGACTGCTCATCCTTCTCAGGCGGAGTCCCTGGTAGATTCAAACCGTGTACCTCTGGGATTACAGCACAGGATCCTACCACGAAGCCACCTGAGCTTCAATGGAAGACAGTTTCATTCTCCCAACTCAAATGTGCCTTCCGCTGTTGCTCTTAGGTGTCACCAAATCAACTATGGCTCACGGCGACCCTGTGAACAGATCTGGACCTTGCCCTGTGCCCCACCATCCTCTCCATTCCTTTGAGAGTTGCCAAAATCCAGCCTTCACCTGCCACAGTTAACAACTGTGCTAAGTAAAACTTCAGTTTCCCACTGAACTGCTGTTGGCAGTTGTGGGTGCCATTAAATCACCTCCAACTCCCAGCAGCCCTATGAACACAGAACAATAAAACCCCCTTGAGCTCATGGCTGCAGCCACTGCGTCAGTCCACTCGTTGAGGGGCTTCCTGCTCCCCCCTGACTCTATTTTTCCAAGCGTCCAGGCTTCCTCCGTGAACTGGCTCTTCCCGGTAACTTGTTTAAAGTCGGTAAGACCACGTCTCGCCATCCCCACTTTTCAGAAGCACTCTGGCTGTACTTCCGAGAGAGCCCTGGCAGTCTGCAGTATATTGGATATTCTTCACCGATGCCATAATTCAAATGCAGCAATTCTTCAGTCTTCCTTATTCCTTGCCCAGGAAATTTAAAGGACTGTATAAAGTGAAATTATATTAATGACCTCACTGCATACAGGGGAGGCATAAAGCAAAAAGAGAGACTACAGAAGTACATCTTACGGGCCAGCGGGAATGCTTCAGACTCTGTCCCCTGGGCCACTTCCTTCCATTCCCTGCTTGGTTTTGGATCACCTCCCCAGCGGAAGAACAATTTCTCTGCCTCACCATGTGAAGTAAGTTGCTCTAAGTGCCTTTCTTTCGGTGGTCCTCAATTACGGGGTCGGGCAAGAAGGTTTGCACAGGGATAAGGGAAATGGGAGATAAAGAAAATGCAGCAAATTGGAAGCATTTTCTGGAACTGACTGAGGGAGGCAGTTCCATTCCTTCTCTGTGCCTGTTTCCTTCTATCAAACATGTCCAGTCACTGTCCCTAGTTCATTAGGTTGTGGGGAGAAGGAACAAGTTCATGTCTGTTAGGCACTTGGAACAAGTCTGGCTCACGCTACCAAGGGTCAGCTGACATTATTATTAATTATTATGAACACTATTATTTGGTCTTCAACCTGGGGACACCTGGCAATGGCCGGAGGCCTCTCATGTCTGTTACAACCAGAGAGAGAAGGATGATTCTGCCATCTAATGGGAGCAGGACAGGGATGCTGTTAAACATCCCACGATGGAAGGATGGGCCCCGCCCCAGAGAATGCACCCCAAAGGTCCACAGCGCAACCACTGAGATGTTTTGATTCAGACCTCAGCCTACCACCACTCCAGTTCTGGAGCCATGTCACGGATGTGAGGGGGCACATGGACTTTTCTATCAAGATACAGAGATCAACTGAAAAAGTATCTTCCTCTTCTAGAGAACGAGGGGAGGTTCAAATCCACCAGGTGCTCTGCTAGAGAAGGAGGGGCAATCTCCTCCTCTACCAGTCAGATCCAATTTGAC